CTTCGACTAAATAAATTTCCTCTAAAATTTTGATTTGGAGTTCTACCACGACTATTGTTATAATAATAATTATTTCTACCTCTATTATTATTATTACCGTTATTATAATTACCCCTAAATTGATTGTTTGATCTTCGATTGAAATGACCTTGCGATTGTCCTCGATTCGTCGAACGAAAATTACCTCGTCCACGCATGTAAAAGACATTTGAGGATCTTGACGGTTCTTCGTCTTTTGCTCTTCTTATAGCGTCACCCAATGACGAATAATTTCTCGCTTTTACTATGGTAGGGAGTTTACTATTATGTAAACCTGCTGCAAAAGCACTGATAGCAATCTTTTCATTAACGGTGGTTAAAACTTGCATTGCTTCTACGTCGCCATCAGCCTGACTAATAGTAAGATTAACCAATAAATCCTCCACCTCTTTGCCAAACTCATCTATTGACTTTCCGGCCTGTCTAGCAGTATTTAATTTATGTGACTAAGAACTGGCGGACTGTTTAGTTAAACAATAACCAGTTATATCTCTAACTAAATCTGTATTTGAGGGATACGCGGTTTTTAATCTAATTTTTGCACTTGGCGTTAATCTAGTTTTTAAAACGTAAGTCGTTAACAAAACTTTGTCTGCAGCATCTAAAAATGAATCATAAAGCTCAATACCTTTATAAAACGCTCAATAGCGTCCATAACAGGTAGCATACACGCTGCGGTTCTAAGATCAAATTTTTCCGACATTTTAAAATTTTTTGGTTCTGATCCTTTTATCTGATTTTGACAATTAATTATCTATAAGTTTAACTATTTTATCTACATATATTTTAACTTCTTCAACTAAAACTGATTCATGAGCACTACTACTAAACTCTTTTCTTAAAGCAATAAATTTATTTTCTAATTGATTTAGTTTTCCTACCTTCCGATTGATTAATTCTATATTAGTCCTTCTTTTAACTGAATCTTTCTTTAAGTTCTTATGAAATAACAATAACTCTTCTTCTAACTCTGTTCACTTCTTGGTTGACATAAAGATATCTTTCACTCATCACCTTTAATTGCTGTTGTTGCACTTTGTCTTCCACTACACAACTTTTCTTCACTCCTCGATGATACTTGAATAGGGACGTGGGGATGTGAAGAGCGTTAAACTTCAGCTCTGGATGCGGCTCTTCTTAAGATTCTTCTTTTTATATGGTGCGTATAAGCTTTCACCAGGCGTAACACGAAAGTAATCACCATCATAATGAACATTATGTAGAATATTACCGTAACATCATCATCCATCTTAATTTTATTTTCTTGCACTACGAAGTTTGCATTAACTGCACAATTTTCAGTTAATTCCTGGCTGGTATTCGACTCTTTGCTATGATGTTTTCCCATGTTTAATCTTATAATCTTAAAGCTCGTGCGCTGGCAGGATCCCCATGTAATGGTTGGTGATGATGGTGTAAAATGATGGGATCTCCGGGTTAGAATAAACGCATAATAGCTTCTCTTAATTAATTCATTTATTGACAACACTTAAGTTACACGACGTGTCACCTTTCAGTAGTTGAAGCGTACTCTCTTTTCGAGCGATGACCGCCGCTACACAATACCTAACGTGCATCATTTAGTGCTTACTATTAACTATCTTAACGTACTTAACAATTTGTTATTATTACACTAAGTACAGAAGTACAGAAATATTTTGGGAGTGGAGACAACGGATGAGGGACTCGCGAGAAGACCGGAGAGAAGAAAAAGTTAGAGAGTCGGGAGGTACAGGAGAGACGTGGGTTGGGTTGAAGAGTGATAAAACAAGAAAGTCACACAAGAGTTTTTAACAGAATTATCAAGGCAATGTCGATTACTGAAAATCAATCTCAGAGAGCCATAAGCTCGCCTCAACAGCATATTAGCATGTTCCCTACAGTTTAGTGACTCATCAATAATCAAGCCAAGGTTTCTAACAGACCGACTCAGAGAAAGAGGCACATTTCGCAGCGAAATGTGATAGAATCTGTCGATAAAGATTGTTTTCAATTGAGTAGGACCAAATAGGATCATTTGAGTTTGCCTTTCATTAATTCTTAGACAGTATTCCCGAGCCCCACTGACAATACTAAACAGATCACCCTTGAACTCATTAAGCCTCTCTTCAAAATGGCTTTCAGGGAAGGACAGGTAGATCTGAATGTCATCAGCATAATAATGAATTTTACAAAAATCAACAATTTACAAATTGTGAAATCATTTCTATAAGTTGTCAAAAATTTCCATTAGTTTCGTCAAAAAGTTTTGAATACATGAAATTGAATACATAAAATAATTCTTTTAAGAATTCCTTCCCATGTTTGTTTTCTATATCAATTTATGCATCCACACCAATTTTCAATTTCAAAGTATACTTTAATGATATTAATTTATTGTTTACAACATTTTATATGACTTACAATTAGTGAGCTTTCATAAACACACAGAGCTTCTAACAAATGACGCCAATCATTATAACCGCCATTGACTAATTGACTAACAAAATACTGTATCTTTTGATGATGAATAGAACAACCAACTTCTAGACACCAACTCATTATTTGGAAGGATTTTATTGTAGTACCTTTTAGAATAGCTTCTCTTAGCAGTTTNAAAAATCTGAGACGCTTATAGAAAGTTACTTAAAAACGCGGGGGTTAGAAAAAAACTGTCAAAAAGGAAAAATCTTACTGTTCTTGTAGAATAAGTAGAAGTATCTCTTCGAATAGCAAATAAAAGCCGAAGTGCTTCTATCGAACGTGTGTATTAACACGATTGAAACTACTTTTTAACGAAAATTACACGGAACGATTTATTACGCTTTTTGATGTCAACTACAACAACTCGTGAGAACAACTGAATAACAATAACGAATAAAATACGGAACGGCCGACTAATATATAAATTATAAAAACTTTGAACAAAAGTTTTATTTATTTTTCGTATTCTTATTTTTTTTTTGACATCCGCCGCTTGATCCTTTCCCCTTTGTCTTTTGACACACTTGACCACGTTACGAGCCTCCTATAAAGAGTGGACCCGAGGAGAATAACAAGAAAGTCACACAAGAGTTTTTAACAGAATTATCAAGGCAATGTCGATTATTGAAAATCAATCTCAGAGAGCCATAGATAAGCTCGCATCAGCAGCATATTAACATGTTCCCTAAAGTTTAGTCAACAACCAGGCCAAGGTTTCTAACAGACCCACTTAGAGGAAGAGGCACATTTCTCAGCGAAATGTGATAGAATCTGTCGATAAAGTTTTTTTTCAATTAAGTGGGATCAAATAGGATCATTTGAGTTTTTCTTTCATTAATTCTTAGACAGTATTCCCGAGCCCCACTGACAATACTAAACAGATCACCCTTGAACTCATTAAGTCCCTCTTCAAAATGCCTTTCAGGGAAAGACAGGTAGATCTGAATGTCATCAGCATAACAATAAATTTTACAAAAATCAACAATTTACAAATTGTGAAATCATTTGTATAAGTTGTCAAAAATTTCCATTATTTTCGTCAAAAAGTTTTGAACACATAAAACTGAATACATAAAATAATTCTTTAAACCCTTTCGCTGCGGTAGGCGCATACATGCGCCCGCCGTAGCGAAAGGGTTAAGAATTCCTTCCCATCTTTGTTTTCTATATCAATTTATGCATCACACCAATTTTCAATTTCAAAGTATACTTTAATGATATTAATTGTTTACATTTTATATGACTTACAATTAGTGAGCTTTCATAAACACACAGAGCTTCTGACAAATGACGCCAATCATTATAACCGCCATTGACTAATTGACTAACAAAATACTGTATCTTTTGATGATGAATAGAACAACCAACTTCTAGACACCAACTCATTATTTGGAAGGATTTTATTGTAGTACCTTTTAGAATAGCTTCTCTTAGCAGTTCTTAGGAAATGCTATATCTTTTACTTGTTCGGGTTTATTTTCGACTAAGAAAACTCTATCTTTATCTTTTACAACATCTGGCTATAATCTGAGATTTCTTAAATTAATTAAACTCTTATTTAAACCTTGACAACATTCACCATCATCAGCTTTTATTATAGATAGGTCACATAAATCATTATGATGCTCTTTATCTTTTTCAAGATCCTCATCTCTGTTTTCAGTATCTGATTTTTTCTTCACTTCTCCTTTATTTTTTTGTTCTGGTAGATTACATTGTTCTATTTTCTTCATTGACTCCACTAGCAGTTGACGTCGATGGAACATTTTTCAATTTCCTCTGCTGGCTGCCTGATGGTCTTTTTCTTTGTTCCCAATAGGACATCTCAACAGGTAAGGTATTACATAGTTTCCCAATTACACATTGCACCCCCTTCGGACTTGCAACCCCGTGCTTTGCACGGATTGCACAGTCGCATGAGCCGGCCCTGCATAACGGTAGAAACAGGTGTTGCTGACTTTTTGGCAGACACTGTATACAGTAATATTAGTAACATGTGAGAATGCTGAATTTCGACCATTCTAACTAATTTGAATTAATTTTTTGTTGATAGATTATTCAAGATATCGTAAAATATTGTATATAATATTTGCAAAAATTGTTTAAATTAAATGAATCTATAAATTTAAAACCACAGTTTATAATTCGTTCTTGGATTTTATATTTCACTCTTGATTCTGTTGATTAACAGAAAAATTTTAGATTATTTAAGATATCGTAAAATGTTGTATATAATATTTGCAAAGATTGTTTAAATTAAATGAATCAATAATAAATTTAGGCCCATCTCATAGTTTATAATCCGTTCTTGGATTTTATATTTGACAGATTATAAACATAACCTAAACATAATTAAAAAAGCAAATATTAAGAAATTAAATAAATACTATTTTAACAGAACTTAATCTTATTTAAAATTATTAAGTGTAAAATTTTCACAAATTATATTAAAAATAGAATTTAAAAACATCTTAAAATTGTTAAACGTCAAAATGACATTTAACCTAACCTCAAAATAAATAGAATAAGAATCTACACAAAAAACTTAATAAATATGGAATCTAACTCCTTATCATTCACCCCAATTATAAGTTCAATCCAAAAAATAGTTTTATACGAAACAAAACAGGTAAATAAACTCGGGTTTAAATATTTCTTACTTTAATTTTAACGTTTCATTTAGAATTTTTATTTAATTGGTACAAATAACACCCAAACTCGATATAGAGTATTAAAGATTGATCGTACAGAACCGAAGGAGTTGATTATTCACGATGACAAAGTTGAATATACTCGAGATGAAATCCACGATTTGGTTTGTATGATCGAGGGGAGCAACCGGCAAAGAAGTGGAGTCAGTAATGTGATAAGTGCATTTGGAATCATCGGTTTTATTCGCTTTTTAGAAGGTTATTATATCATTTTAATTACAAAACGTCAAAAAGTAGCAATCATCGGGCATCATACAATCTATAAAATCGAGCATACCACCATGATATATTTACCCCACGATTCAGTGCGATTACTTCACCCTGATGAAACAAGATATTTAAAAATGTTTCAAAACATTGATCTTTCTAGTAATTTTTATTACAGTTATAGTTATGATTTAACTCACACTTTACAACATAATTTAAGTTCCCCAAAACAAATTATTCCACAAGCTCTTGATGAATCTGAGGAAGATATGTATAAACCGTCAATAAAACAATTAAAATCATCCCTTTTTAATAACAAACAACAAACGAATGGTGGTAATGACCGTTCTAGTTTTGGAATTCGTTCAAAACCGCATCGAAAATTCGTTTGGAATTCGCATTTATTGAAATATGTCGAACGCGAACTTCATCAAGATTGGATTTTGTACATAACACATGGTTTTGTTGGGCAATCAAACATGTGTGTTTTTGGTCGATCTATTTATGTCACATTAATTGCTAGAAGATCGGCGAAATACGCTGGAACGCGATTTTTAAAACGTGGGGCAAATTTTAATGGTGATGTTGCCAATGAAGTTGAAACCGAACAAGTTGTGCACGACGCAGGGGTTTCATCGTTAAGTCAATGTCATATTACATCCTTTGTACAAATAAGAGGATCAATTCCGGGACATTGGCGCCAAGAAATGGGTAAAATTGTTGCAAAACCGGCGATAACGATCGATTTGTACGATCCGTTTGCGGAAACGGCTGGAGCTCATTTTAATGAATTATTAAAACGTTATGGAGCCCCAATTGTTGTTTTAAATTTGGTTAAACAACGCGAAAAAAAGAAACAAGAAAGTTTATTAAGTGAGGAATTAAATGGTTCAATCAAATATTTAAATCAATTTTTACCACAAGAATATCAAATTATTTATAAAACTTTTGATATGGCGAGGAAAAATAAGAATGTTAACGCTAATGTAATGGATAAATTAGCAGCTTTGGCACGTTATGCGGTTATGAAAACTGGAATTTTTCATAATCAACCTAAATATTATTCTCAAAAACCTAATACAATTGTGGGACAACCAAAATCATTTACATTTAAGGTTAGTTGTTATTATTGTCAAACCCTGACCTCCTTCATCTTCAGCCTCCACACCTCCCTATCTTTAGCCTCTCTCTTCCAATTCCTACATTCAACACTTCTCTGACGTCCACATCAACTTACTCCCTGCATTTTCCTATTGACAGTCTAGCTAGCATTCTGGCAACATACCCACCTCATTCAATTCTTATGCTTTATAGAGGGATAATTCATGATTGTATAGAATTCTTTATTCATTGTTTTCCTGCACTAGATCCAAAATTCTCCTCAGAATCTCACTCACAAATATATTTGTCAGAGGTGGTGGTCGTAATCTTTTAATTAAAAACCAGCGGTGTAACTTAAACAGCTTTCATTATTATTTATATTGAATACAATCATGGTGTGGGCACCAATATAGGCAAAACAAAACCGTCGTATTTTTAAGAAGCACACATACACGTATATGTATACAGGGTGTTTCAGCGAGACCGGTCATTAGACGTTTCTGGGGTTCTGGCCAAAATAAATTAGCAATTACGTTCCCTTTGTTTAAAATATTTTCAGATTTCTAGCACTTCCGGTTATACCGGAAGTCGCCACCTACTTTATTTTTTTAAATGGAACACCTATATATTTTTACATATTTGGATTTGTCTGTTTTGAAGCTTTATAAATAACTTTACTTTTTGCAATTTGATTCGGCCGTTCTCAAGTTATTCGAATTTTTCTAGAAAAATCTACTCCAGCGGACATTTGTTCAAACAATCATAGAACACTCAATTTTTGAGATATCAATTTAAGATTCAGAACATGGTTAAACAACATGATAGAGTATGTTTTGGTGTCGAGAACGGCTGTCTAGATCGTTTGGTCACTTTACTATGACACGTTAACTTTTTGAAATTTGGAAACACCATAACTTAATTTTTTTAAATGGCACCCCCATATTTTATTACTAAGTCGTCTTCGGCGTCTCATTTTACATCTTTTATACTCGATATGTTCTATGCCTAACATTAATAGTTTGAGAAATAATTAGGGTTTTTTGAAAAATGGAAAACAACATGACTTATTGATAAACGTCATAGTCTGATTTACGTTGTTTGATGCTTGTGAGTCTAAAACCAGTTAAAATGGATATTGATAACGTAAATAATGTTTATAGAAATGAAGAAATCCATAATTTATTTTTTGTGCACGAAAAGTACGACAAAGTTCTTAGTAGTACTTGCAGAATGTTTAATGAAAATTATCCACATTTACCTCCGATGACAAAAGGTAAATTTAGAAAAATAGAAGCAAATGTTTTGCATTTTGAACGAATTAATCACGTGTTAAACAGACCAAAAAATGTAGTAGATAATGACACGGCTAATGCAACGGAAGAGGTGAATACCTTGGCTTATTTCGAGCTCAGTCCCAACACCTCAATTCGAGCTGCCAAAGAAGATCTGGGAATCATACTACGAACTTTGTCGCGCTTTTGATTTCTTCTCAACAATAACAATCGGACTTGCCCATTCGCTGTGACGTACTGGGCTTATGATATTTTCCTTGACCAACCTCTTTATTTCCTTTTCAATTAACTCTCTCTGTGATATAGGAACTGAATAGGCTTTATGGAATACAGGCAAGGCTTCATCTTTTGAAACAATTTGCGCCAGAAAATGTTTTATACAATTATTTTCATCTGTTTTGAACTTACTTTTTTCATTATTTATACTATTACTACTATTACTATTTCTAACCTTTTATTAGACATTTTTAATTATTGTGTCAAATTTTACCCTATTGATCGTTAAATTTTGTCGCCATTCGGGGACCAATACATCTAACCAGGGACGACCTACATTACATTACATAGAATACATATCGGGTAGGCGGACCAACCAACCTTGCACCGCGACCCTAAGGTTCTATTGTACCCCTATAGATATCGTTA